AGACATCTCAGGTCTGAGGATCCAAGAACGAACCGCTTTATGAGATTTAAGTCATGACTCTGTCCATGTGATAATCTCATGCGGGTCAACCAGTCACTCGTTCACAACGAGTACCCATGATTGTGATATGCATCCAATGCATCGATCACACCTCATGCTAGTCTTAATTTATCGTTGTTCCCACAATGATAACTGACCAGGGTGTTTAGAATCATTCTATAATGATTCAAGGATACCGAAATATAACAAACATGCCAATCATATAACGGGAATGTAATGCATTCATAAATCAATGAATCAATACAAAGTCAAAATGTCATATCATGGATCATCCTAGAGTATTACAACCAACAAGCATCTCCCCAAAATTTTAAAGGGACATTACGATAAAACATCAGCGTTCGCGCAACTTCCAAGAGGTGACGGTTCTTGCGTTCGGCGACACCGTTTTGTTGTGGAGTGTACGGACATGAAGTTTGATGAACGATCCCGTGTTGTCGAAGATACTCGGTAAAAGTTGTACTTGTGTATTCACCGCCGTTATCTGTTCGAAGAAACTTGATACTCGTGTGGTAATGGTTAGTCACATAAGCATAAAAAATTTTGAACGCTTTAAATACTTCATTCTTCGACCCAAGCAATGTGATCCAAGTGTATTTAGATTTTTCATCGATAAAAGAAACGAAATACTTTTGTTTATCACGAGAAAGACATGGAGCGGTCCAAACATCGGAATGCACAAGGTCAAAGCAATGGTGATAAACTGTTTGAGATGGGGAAAATACCGAGTGACAATGTTTGCCAAAGATACAAGCATCACAAGTCTTATTATCAAACGAAACATTGGGAAACAATTTTTTTAAAGCTTTATTATGAGGATGGCCTGATCTAGCATGCCAAAGAACACTAAAAGCTGATTCCGAAGAGACGTTGCACGCATCAAGCATATAGAGATTATTGTGTAGAACGCCTTTCCCAAAAGTTCTCCGAGTACTAGTATCCTGAAATCGCACTTCGTTAGCATCGAAAACGATAGAACAATCCAAATCTTTAGTAAGCTTTGGAATAGATAACAAGTTCGTTTTGAGTTGCGGCATATAGAGAGCATGTATATTTTTATCAAATAGATTAACAGAACCATGCCCAACAATAGGAATCTTAGCCCCATTGGCAACAGAAACAGAGCCAAGCATAGTTTGCAAATTTTCGAACAAATCAGATTTAGAAAACATATGATTAGTCACTCCTGAATCAATAATGATTGAGTTAAGGAAGTTGTTACCTTGATCTTTATTCATGGACTGAAGCGCTTGAATGAGAGCTTCGACATTCTCATGAGTGAGGAATGCGGCAGGCTTGTTACGAGCGTCTCTGCCGCGGTATTGCTGCGATTTCAAATGAGGATGCAGAAACCAACACTTAATTTTATCATGACCGGGTTTCTTGCAGTGCTCGCAAGTGATGGTCTTTTTGTCTCTGCTGGACGTGCTATGAAATTTTTTTCTGGATATATGGGCTTCTTCATTGTTCCCTGATGGATTGTTTTTCTGAGCAATAAGATGAGCTAATTCAACAGACCCAGTGAACAGATGTCTATTTCCTTCTTCCCTTTGAATGAGCATGCAGACTTCATCCATGATCGGGATCTTTTCTTGCCTAAGAACATGGTATACAAGATCGTTGTAAGTCCCATCTAAACAAGAGAGAATCGAAAATACCTTGTCTTGTTCTTTTCGATCCTCAATAGTTTTCGAATTTGTCGTGTCAGGTCGGAGTTGCTCATATTCCGCCCATAAGCTACTGATTTCGCCGAGACACGTGTCAAAGGGCCTTCCGCCTTGCTGGATTGAGAACAAAGCCTTTTTGATTTCGTAGATTCGACTCATGTTCGACAGATTCCCATACACGAGCTTGAGTTTTTCCCAAATGGCTTTGCTGGTCTCGCTGTAGATATAGTTGTTCAATATATGTGGAGCTAGAGAACTCTGAATAATCCACCAAAGCTTGCTGATCTTACTGAAACCATTTGCTCGTAGTTTGATCAGGAAGTGTGGAAGCCTGCGCCATGGTTGCTGTTGCCGGTTGCTGTGCTCCATCCGGTGAACTTTGGGTATTCGTACTTGATGTCGGAGGGGCTGGATTTTGACTGTGAAGAACATGAATCCAGAGACCTCTTCCCGTTAGAGTTGTCTGTGCAGCTTTGGACCAAATCAGGTAGTTTTTTCCGTCAAACACGATCGGAATTAGTTTGGGTAGCGAGTTATCCATTGTTTCAGAGACAAAGAGGAGGAAGAATAGAAGAGAAACTGGTATTTCGCCCTAGAAGCTCTGATACCATGAAAGAATTTGAGAATCTAACGTTTGATGAAGATGAAAAACAGAGGAGATTCAAGAAGTTCTGGAGATCGTGTCTCTTTTTTCTTATTTTGCAGAGAATGATAATCAGCCTTATAAAAAGGTATACTCGTGATACAATCTGTAGACAAAATAGGAAGTGTATCTTATAATAAGGAAACACATGCTGTTAAAGAAAAGTGTAGAGATATTGTTGCCGATTTTGTCTCCTTTGATTCTTCAATCTTCTAACGGCATGAGAAGCCCAACATCAGTCCATGGGCTGGACCATTCATCCACTGATTCAGAGTCCAGTTCATGTACAGAAGCATGGTCGTTGATGATCAATTGGGCTTGTTCAGATTTCTTCCAAACTTGCACATGTCGAGAGAGATTGTCTGGTTCAACAATAATGACCTCCGATTTCGACCATTTCTTTTTTTTTCTTCATAACTTGTTTTTAGATTTACTATTTTGTAAAGTAATATCCAAAGAATGCAAAAGGTTTCAAAATTTTATATCACAAAAGATTTATATGTTTTGGTTATTTGGTGAAAATACAAAATAAAACAAGATATATATGTTTACTAAAAAAATTCATTAATAATAATTATTTAATGTAGTTTCGTTTTGGACTCATATTGGGCCATTTGGGCCTATAATTTTGTCTGCTTGCTTCGGACAAAATTCCCTGCGGACCATACTAGCTGTTGGTTAAACCCCTCTCCTGGTTTAGGGTTTTTGAGTAAGGATGAATTGAAAGGTGGTTTCTTTCAGGTTTCTCTTTCGTTTTCTCTGAATCCAAACTGTGCCCTTTTCGCGCTTCCTTAATGCCTATGTACCGTTGCTTTCCTTTCCTTGACTTCAAAGAGGCGTATCCTTCCCTGAGATGCCTCTTCGTGCTTTTGCCGCCATACTACAATCGCATAGAAGAAGCCACAAGAGATTTGGGAGAGCCCTTTTGAAGCTTTCGAGTCTGGCTCTTAAATCCGACTCTTTCATCGAAGAAACCGATTCAAGCACTTTCGATTATGGTGAGCTGCGTCGTAGAATGCAAGGAAATGCGGCTTCTGGTGATTTCCGACAAGCTCTATCGGATTTGAATTTCATGAAGAACATCCCTGGGAAACCAACTGTTTACGATTTCAATGCTCTGATTTACCATTACTCGAAATCGAAGCACGCGTCGTTGGATGAAATGATGGGCATTTATTCAAGGATGAAGCAATTCGGTCCCAAACCATGCGGTTCTACGTTCAACACACTTCTTAGGGCGGCTGTAGTTGTTGTCGGGGACGTTAATGTCGGTCTGTTCCTCGCGCGAGAGATGTGCCAAAGTGGGTTCATGCCTTCATTCACGGTTTTGTCGAAGATGTTGAAGAAATCGATTATAGCTATGAACTTAGTTGATGCACTTGAAGTGTTCGAGTTTATGCTCGAGTTGGGTTATATCCCCATGGAACCGACACTGAGTGCTTTGACTTGGCTTCTCTGCGATTTAGGAATGACCAGTGAAGCTTGTTTGGTGTTCTCTGCTCTTCTGGGCAAAGGTCACTTCTGTAGTCCGTACACTTATAATCCCATTTTGTGGGCTCTGTGCAAATCTGATCGTACTGATACGGCCTTGCGGCTGTTCTATTTGATCAGGAAACTGGGAATTGTTCATAACGCTTGTTCTTACACCGCCCTGGTTTATGGCTTTGGCCTTGCGGGACGCTTGAACGACATGTATCATTGTCTTAACGAGATGAGAAGTAATGGGCAAAAGCCGAATGTGAAGACGTATACAGTAGTTCTTAAGTCTCTCTATGACAGTGGCAATGTCGTTAAAGCGAGGAAGATATGGGCCGAAATGGAGAAAGATGGGTGTGAAGCAGATTTGTACTTGTACAATGTGATGCTACGGGAGCAAAGTAAAAGGGGGAGTGTTTCGGGTATTTCCAAGCTCCTTCAGATTATGGATGAGAAGGGCTTTTCTCCGGATCCTTTCACGTATGCTGCTCTCGGTGGTGGGTTTCTGAATAAGGGCAAACAGAAATGGGTTCTCGAATTTTTGCTTAACGAGATATCAAAAGGGTGTGAGGTTGATTTGGTCGTTTGTAATATAATCTTACGATCTCTGTGTCTAGTCAACAGATCGAAAGAGGCTTTGGATATCCTGAACAGAATGATAGAAACAGGGGTTAAGCCGAGTAATGTATCCTACAACATCATACTACATGGTTTTTGCAGAGAGAACAACCTGGAAGAGGCGGTGGGGCTGTTAGACCGGTTTCAATGGACCAGCAACGGCTATGGCCCTGACATTGTTTCCTTCAACACATTATTCTCTGCAGCCTGCAAACAAGGGAACTCTGCTCTGAGACGTAAAGTTCTCTGCCAGATGGAGCATCGAGGCGTAGAACTCGATGTTATCAGCTATAGTTCTTGGTTCTGTACGTTTGAGAAATTCTCGGACTGTCTAAGTCTATTGGAGAATATGACGAGGAATGGGCCGAAGCCTACGACTGTGACATTCAACCTGTTGTTGGACAAACTCTGCAAAAACAGGCAGCCTCGACGGGCTTTACTACTTTACAAATACATGAGAGAATCTGGGTTTGTCCCAGACATTGCAACATATAACATCTTAATACTCGGGTGCTTAAAACGCGGTTTAATTTCGAATGTGAATCATTTAGTCCGGGATATGTTCAGTCTGGGCCTGAAACCGGATGCTTTCACATACGGGGCGTATATTAGTGGTCATTGTAGAGAGGGGAACCAAGAGAAAGTGTTTGAGCAATGGGCCCTTATGAAGCAGAACAGTGTTGTGCCCAGATCAGTGGTTTATAACCAGACACTGGTGATGATGTTGAAGAGAGGCAATCTTAATGATGTTACCGAGTTTCTCAAAGATATGGTGAGGAATAACTCTGGTCCGGATGAGGTGACTTGCGATATTGTGAGGCAAGCTCTGTCGAAGAGTAGGTTAAAGAGCTGTCCTGAGGCAGCCAAGGCACTGGAGGATGCAGTATGCTATGCCCATGCTAAATCCAAATCCTGAACTGACCGATAGTTCCAGAATGATTTCTGGTTTTGTGATTGATTCCTGATCCCGGGTTTCGTGAGGTAGAAGGCTCTTTTCGGAAGAAAAAAAAGTTTTGTTTTTCTTATGCTGATTCGTTTTGTTTCACTCGGGCTTGTGTTTCACTTTCATTTGATTAACAGAGCAAAAAGCATTCTTTCGGCATGGGGTTCAGCCATGCCAATTTTAGGGGAGGTGTTATCCTAAGAGCTTGCTTACCCTTCTTCAATGGCGATTGAATTTGGGACCTGATGCTCTTTGAATCACCGAATCCAGGTAATGAACGTGCTACCGAATCAAGTTTATAGATCTGATTGATTCCGTGACGGGTTTCTGATTGGATTTACATTTCCTTCTTTGATTCGAGTTAGCGTTCATTTGACTTGCAGTTTGGGTTTCATTTGGGCATAACAAGAAGGATTTCATCTGATCCCTTGAACATTTTTCTTGCCAAAGGCAATCGTCAGATGCAAACCTGCGAATGGAGCTTCTCTCTATGCTGCCAAAGTTCGATCAGACAGACCAGTTCCAGGAAAAAAAAATCATGAAAACAAATGCAGTCGCAGCTTTCAGAGACAGCCACTGTGTCTGATTTTGGCAAATGCTTTTGCCAATAAGTTGTTCACTGGCAGAATCCTTCACTGCATATATGCTCATGTGCTATTTTTTATTTTTTATTCTTGTTGGCTTCAGATGCAATTGAAATCTGCATGCTGTAATAATGTGATGTATTTGGTTGGTGATTATATAAAATTAGGACATAAGATAATAAATAAAATCCATAAATTTCATCGTGACTTGCCCCCTCGAAGGTAATTAATAGTTTTTTTTTTACAAATCGTTTAACATTTTTCTAAATCACAAATGGCATTGGCAAACAGATAAACAAAGTCATATATATAACAACTTTTACCATTCATAACAATACGCTTTACTAATCAAATTAAAATAACCTTACAGTGACCACAAGTAACTTCACTTCCATCTCTCTGGTGATACGTTCTCTAGCAGAAACTATATTTCTGAAGGCATTGGCAGAATCCTTCACTGCATATATGCTCATGTGCTATTTTTTATTTTTTATTCTTGTTGGCTTCAGATGCAATTGAAATCTGCATGCTGTAATAATGTGATGTATTTGGTTGGTGATTATATAAAATTAGGACATAAGATAATAAATAAAATCCATAAATTTCATCGTGACTTGCCCCCTCGAAGGTAATTAATAGTTTTTTTTTTACAAATCGTTTAACATTTTTCTAAATCACAAATGGCATTGGCAAACAGATAAACAAAGTCATATATATAACAACTTTTACCATTCATAACAATACGCTTTACTAATCAAATTAAAATAACCTTACAGTGACCACAAGTAACTTCACTTCCATCTCTCTGGTGATACGTTCTCTAGCAGAAACTATATTTCTGAAGGCATATATATATATATATATATATGCTGAGATTTTAGAAGAATTCAGACGGGAAAAAATGCAAAAGAAGCAGATCCAAAATTCCAATTTCGTTCATCTCACAAAGTTATGAACAACCAAATTCAGGATGAACAAAGATTTGCTGGAAAAAAAAATCCTGACCCGTTTTTCTTCTTCTTCTTCCTCCTGAATGTGTATGTACACTCTTGATCCATGATTTGAGCAGATCTGCCTTTTGTCTTCCATGAGTTGATGAATGAGAGAATATGTCTCTGATTCAGGTTCTGAATCTGCTGCATTTACTCCTCTCTCACTTTTGTCCAACATGTTCCTGTATCAACACACACACAAAAAAAGCATTCCCTATTTCACAACTCGGGGCCGACTCGGAAAAAAAAAAAATTCGCCTAGGCCTAGCTGAATGCCCTGAACTAGAACGATTCATTTAACGTTAAACGTCAGCAATAACACTCCAGCCCATGTAAATCTTCCTATATAAAAGATCCCCTGGCAACTGAATTGAAGCAAATTGAGATTGTGGTAAGTTTCTGAATCTGAAACTCAACTTTCCAGCACAAATCGCGCCTTTTTTCAACTCCGAAACCTGAATATAACCTTGGATGATCCCAACTCTCTATCCCATACAAACCCTAAACCTTTCTGAAAATTCTGCATAGTCCCTTCTAACCCTTCTAACCTGGATTTATAGCTAAAAAATGCTGAAACTAACCACTAACCAACATATCCAAACACACACAACTATAGTCTAGATACAATGAACCAATACAAAGCACTAAACACATACGTATAAACACTTATCAAATTGTTATGATAAAACTATCAAACGCCAAAATAGTGCTGTATGCTTTATGAATTAAGCAAATAAGAAGATGTACTTATAAGAAACGCAAAAATAGTATAACAGCAAGGCTACGAAGACCGGGCCTACCTGAGTGCATCCGTTAATCTGCTCCCGTGAAATTGACCCAAAAAAAAACCCCTCAACATGTTACAGCTTCTTAAATTGATGGCTTATAATGCAGAATCTTCGTCCGTTTCATTACTTTCACTCTCAACACCATCATCATCGCCGTCGTCGCCGTTGTCATCATTCTCCCATTCTGATTCATTGTAAGTTGGGTTCTTCTCATTCTGCATAGGCCATCAAAATACAATGAAGTAGACATGGCAGAAGAGAGCATGGCCTGTAAAAACTGGACTGAAAGACCACGGATGAGGAAGCAAGCAAGCAAGCACTTACCAGTTCCTTTTGCATCTGTTCTGTAGTTTTCTCCAGTTCCGCAATATGCTGACTAAGCGCCTGTTACAAAGGAAAGTGAGTTATTTTTTAATAAATAAACAGAGTACGGCCAGCTTCTTAGTTCTTATATAAAAAGTTATATGAAGACTCAGAATGTGGAAAGTTTTTAACCTCATGGCGTTGCATTGCAATGGAACGCTTTAACGCTTTTGCTTTGGTCAGAAGGTTTCTCGGCCTCAAGCTAATGGGTCTCCGGTAATTCTTGCCTCGGTAATAAATAAGAGCAAATCCCTTTGGAACCTTTTCAATGGCCACAAGAACTCCACCACTCTCGTATTCAAGTAACCGAGCTGTATCCTCAACAAATGCAAGGTTCTTCTGCTTCGTTATTAGCTTCACCAACTCTCTGTGCTTCCAATGCAGATGCATATTCTCTATCACCCCATCGAAAACACCTCGGATACCTTATTAGGTTCACGAAAAAAATGCTCAGGTTTGTTAGTAAAACTGAAATGTCTCAGGATAATCAACTTTATTCTTGAATACTTTTTAAGTAGAAGACTTAGATTTTCTTTTTTCACCAAAAGATTTTGGTCTTAAAAATTCTTCCTTAACTTACACTATGAATGTGGTGGCTTCTGATTTTAATTTAACAACTACAAAAGCAAAGCATTTTTTTAATCTTCAATAGCTAAAAACCAAACAAAAGGCGAGATCTCACAGCTATGAGACAAACCTGAGAAGAACCTGAAACACAAAACTAAAGCTACAACAGCTAAAGGAATAAAGCTTACCTAACGGTAAGTATGCTTTCATTTTTAAGCCGACTTTTCGGAACATAACCCTTTCCTCCTCAGAGATGACCTCTTGATCATAATCAGGTCCGCTCGGAATCATAGAAGATTCTACTTTAGACAGTAGGTTCTCTGCTCTATGCAATTTGGTTTGTGCCTGTTACACCGGGCAACCAACAAACGAGATACTTCAACTTTATATAAATAAGATTCCAGATTAAGGAGAGAAAGAGAAATAAGATCTACTCACAATGTCTAGTTTGTGTTGAATTCGTTTGACAACTCTGGCACGGGCAGCCCTGGAAGCTTCTTCGATCATCTTTTCACGCTCATCTGGAGAAATCTCTCTTCCCCATCGGGCTTGAGCTTCATAAAACTCAGCCAGAGTACCAGCTTGAGCCGGCATTTCTTCTGCAACTGGTTGAGCATCAGAATCTATTTCTCGATTTCTCACTCTCTCTTCGACATCTTGAATCTGTTTGGTTAATCCTTCTCTTTCTGCCAAAGTAGCTGCTACGCCTGAAGGAAGGAAGTCCTTCCCACGGTACATGACAATGTAATACTTGTTTCTGAGCAGTAACACGCCTCCTGTTAATGTCTATAACAAAGAGTCAAGGAAATAAAATGAATAAACTTGGCCTTGCACGCCAAAATTTTCTACTTTGGATATATAAGTAATGATCATTCAGATCCTCCTCAAGCAAGCAAAAACCCATTAACCAATGAACTTGTTGCAATTATATTGTAATCCGTTGAACCCGTGAATTCATTTAATACTATTACAGGTTCTAGGTCCAACAAAGTGGATCCTATATTTTCTGTAGCTTCACTATTAAAATACGGAAGCTTGATGCAAACAACATAGAATATGTAACATAAGGTGTGTGCAACGTAACAACGCTAAATCTTGAAAGTTATAGATCCCCGCAGAATCACCATATAATACTTTTGTAATTGCCAGATGTGATGTTTCTGTCAAATTATGAGTCCAGATACAGATATATATTACACAATGTACGTTCCTAGCTATTCATCAGAAACTATGCTTAGGAGGTTGACATAGATCATTTCATTTTTATATTAACTATTAATTTCCTGACAAACATCATTAGAGAAAAAGGATAGCATATACCTTGAGCTCATCAGCCATCAGTTTGTTATTTGTATTCTGTATACCTCGCTTCACAGCGATCTTTACTACTAAACTTTTCTCCCAAAGCTTGAGTATCGCAACTGCTAATCCTTGGTGATTCCTGTTTCGACCTGTGAAATGAAATATTCAAGCAATAAACTTAATCACAAAAAAAAAACAGTACAGAGAAACAAAACAACTAGAAGTCGGAAATGAACCTTACCGAGAGCAAAATGGCAAGGAAGAGCTTTAGCAACTTTCCTGAGATTAGTCATCTCAGCATTTGTCAAATTTGATCTCATCCCAGTAGGAAGAAGCCTGAAAGGTGTTTTATACCCGGGAATTTTAGGAGGAAGCAAATCAGCATCTACAGGTACCACCCCAGTACCCCACCACTCATGAAAACGGGGGCCTAAGCTGTCCAATAGACTGTTAAATTCAACTTCTTCTTCTGTCATGTTCTTCACAGGGACCGGGTTCTTCACAATCGGATCTTTAACTTCCAAAACCGGAGTTCGGTTATCGTCAGCCTTTGCTGCTTCATTGCCAGCAGAAGATACATCTGGGACGAAAAGCGTTTGTCCTGGTTGGGCCACGGGTTCGGTCATCATCGATGGTTCTCGAGAATTACTTCCACGGTAAACTACTATTACACTTCCTGCCCTCCATATGACCAATCCGCCAGTTCGACGCTGCTCATGAGAGTAATGTAATCAGTTTGTCTATTCCAAGACTGAAATTTAGCCATGTCTGTGGTATACAGACATTCCCAACAGAATCATGAAAACTTTCTCTTTTGAACTCCATTGACATTACTTGTCTACTCAAAACCTCAAACTCGAGACATGTGTCTCACAACAGATTTATCCGTTCCTCAAGAAGATCATGCCTCTTTCAAAAAGCTACCACCTTTCAATAAGTTAAGAACAACCATTCTCTTCATCTACAGATTAGTTTAGTTGTCTATTCCTAACCTTAAGTTGAGCTTAAGTCCTTCAGAATTCAGCTAAAATCCCCAAAAGAGATCGTATGGATAAAGCTACGGTTTTTCCAATCAAATCATAGTAACTCTCTCTTCAAGCTCGTCATAAATAAATACTCTTTAAAGCGACCAAGAAAGCCATACCAATCTTCTAAAACAGCAACCCGACCAAAACCCGGATTCAGACAAGGTTGCGAGTTGAACTTACCTCGACGATCTCATGGGCTGTCTTCATGTCTCGAGCGAGGACTTCATGAAACTTGAGCCTAACTAGCTCATCCTTCCTCCACTTGTCATAGATCTTCTCCATCACCGCCTGTGTAAGCCCTGCTTTAGGCACATTGATCCTTTCCCTCAGATACATTCCGTTCCTCCTCAGCCTTCGCAGCTCAGAATCTTCAATGGTAAGCTCCGCTAGTGATGGAGCTTTCGCTCTCCTCTTCTTCACCATTACTCCTCCACCTCCTTCGCTCATCTGAACTGTCTCTTCTTCCTCCTTCTCCCATGGCAATAGCATATCATCATCGTCACTCTCGTCACTCTCAGCCAACATAAAATCAGGCCTCACCCACTCCCTCCTTAGCAAATCCCCCAATCTCTCCTCTCCGGTCACCGGCGTCTCATCTCCGGTGATAACTCCGCCGTCCTCTTCGTCGTCCTCGTCGTCGTCAGATCCTAACCCCAGGTTCCGCAGCCGGAGAACAATCCTCTCAATCGCACTCTGTCCTCTATCTCGCTCCAAGTACCGGAGCTTCGAATCCACTTCCGCTTCCTTCTCCGCATCCGCCGGCCGGACTTTGTCTCTGCCTCCGCGCTCGGCCACTCTCTTTCCAGCGTGATCGGCGGGGGAGGACGGCGACCACTTGTTGAGCCACGGAGCGGAGGGCCTAGGGCTCCGGTGATCCCCACGGTGTTTGTTGTGGCTCCTGTTTCCGCGCTCGCTTGTACGGAGAGAACAAAATGGCCGGAAAATGAGGCATGGCGGTTTCGCGGCGGAGGAGTAGAAGAGCAAGGCGTGGAGCGAAGGAGACGAGTAGTAGCGTGAGCTCGAGACCAGAGGGAGAGAGCTTCTCAGCGGCATCTCCGTGAATTTCGATGAGACAACAGACATTGTTTGTTTTCCCGGAGAGTTCAGAGGGAAAGTTCAATTTTCTCGGTCATTGTTTGGATGCCGAGAAAATTTGCAGGCGGATAAGTTGAAGAGGGGAGGTCTTTTTCGACAATACGGATAAGATTTCCCAGTCCAAAAAGCGTGGGATATTTTCAATGGGCCTTTTTTTGGCCCATTTAGTAGGGCCTAATTTGATTTTTCAAATGGCCCATACAGAAAATGATGGCATTTTCGTAAATTAGTTTACATTTTTTTTCCATTGGTTTTAATATTATAACCATCGAACATTTCACGAAGACCGGTCGAAATATTACTCATTAAAAGATTTCCTCTATCACTGCACTTCGTCGATCTAAGTCCACCCACTGGCGGCGGGCGGGCTTTTGGTCTCTAACCCTACAACTAGGGGGACATTTGGTTCGGTTCAAGAATAGTTTGGTCCGTTTCTTTCGATTTTAAAAAAATATATATGAATCAGTTAATATATTATATTTGGTTTCGATTTTAGTTTTTGTTAAAAAAATTTTAGATCTTCTAAAAAATATATCAGGTTTTTGAGTTTTTTTAAAATTCGGTTCCGAAAATTTAGTTTTTTTTTTAAATATCGTTCCACAATTTTGAACGATTTGATTTAAAAAAAAAAACCGTATTTTTCAATTCGATACAATTTGATTCCAAACAACCTTACCGAAACACCCACTAGATTCACTAGATAAGACATGTATTTGACTTTATCTGTTATATACGGATTAAAATCCAAAGCTATTTTTTAAAAATTTATTTTCTATATAATAAATTAATACTGAAACCGTATAAAATTCGAACCATATGCTACAATTCATAGAAAATACATTGGAATTAGAAATGACAGTCCGTATATCAGATCTTATTTAAGACTAAACAACAAGAATTACAACTTCTGCTCCTATATGATTGGGTTTGATTCGATTTGCCTAAACCGGACCAAATCTTGAATTGAATTAGTATAGATCGGTTTTATTTCTTCCTGAACCCGGACCGAACCTAACCGAAAAGGTCCATCCTAGCAATTACACACATTATTTGCCTTTACATACAGCATAATAACTTGACAGGTAGATTCAGACACCCGTAGCCGGCGATTTTCGGGAACCGAAACCCGACCTGGACCCGGATCTTGATGGACTCGGGCTCGAGCTCAGGCTAGAATTCAGATTCGGGTTCGGGTTAGAGTTAAGGATCTCTTTGCCGAGCTCCTTGATCTTGTTTATGAGAAGAGTTTGCTCTGTTTGGAGTTGGAGCATGTACTCTGCTTGTTCATCCTCGAGGCTCTCCATTTCGCCCAGAGCCTCCGAGAGTCCTTCCAGATCTCCATCGTCGATCAAATTCTGAAACTTCACCATCATCTGCTTCATCTGCAATCAACGCATTTTTCGAGCTCTTAGAACAATCTAGACAGAGGAAACGCAATGGACGAGCCCCGTTTTCGGCATGAGTGCCCATTTCGGGTTTCTGTTCGGTTCATATTCGATTATTTCGGTTTTAAGAAAACTACAACTTTTAAGTTTTAATATTGAATTCAGTTTGGTTCGGGTTTCTATTCGAAATCAACTATTTTGGTTTTAGAAAATGTATAATCATTGAGTCTTTATATTGAATTCGATTCGGTTTCTGTTCGGTTCGGTTTTAATTGATACATATACTAATTTTTCAAGGAAATTTTCTGTTTGTACAGTCATTGTATTAGGGGTATTGAGTACGAACCTGGTTCGAGATCAACTGTGCTTTGTTGAAAGGAGATCCCGAATCAGCGCTCGGGCGTTTCGGGAGCTCAGGGACTTTCCTCGTGATCTTGACCCGTATTTCTCCACGTGTCACTCCTTGGAGAGGTATCCACTTGTCCGATGTCTCGTTAGGTGGCAACCGTTGGTATTCCACGACACAACTCCCGATGCTCGATGTCGGGAGCAGAGCGTTGTGGTCCTTAACGTGCAGTTCCAACGAGCTCCCGTCATCCGGGAACTCCATAGTTTGGTTCCATTTCGGGTTTAGCGTCTTGTAAATCACCTGAAACCGCTCAAGAGATAGAATCTTAAGAATGTCTTAAAGATTCACATCCATAGAGTTCTTACATGATCTTACTACATACCTTTGTACTTTGTTTCTTGTCCCCATAATGAACTCTCACGTACGGATCACTCGTTCCTCGAAGATCCGCGGCCACGAGGTCCCGCGCTTCGACGAGGACCAGTTCGATCAACCCTTTACCCGACTCCGCCTAAGACAACAAACATAGAAAACGAAAAAGAAAACTTAAATATGTTGTCAGAAAAATATATAGGTTCTTCTTCTGATGAGCAATTATGTACTTCTCCGAATTCGGGTTTTGTCGCTTCGATAAGGAGCTCGAGCTCGCCGGAATTAACGTCTTCGAGGGGAACCCATATATGCATTTCGCCGTTCTGGATTCCTTGAAGGTTTAAGCTCGCGGAACCGAGGTTTTCCGTCCCGAGAATCTCCTCTCTGTAGCATTTTACCTTCAGATACTCTCCTCCCGTTAGCTCCTCGAATTCGAACTTCTGATTCCAAACGCATTCCGCTGCGTTTACGGCCTTCGTCCTCTGTATAGACTGCACCCGGAAAAAAAAAAGGAAAAATATATTTTTTTGGGAAATAAAAGGATCATCAAGAAGGGAAAAGGATTTTGGAAATTCGGTAGCCTAAAAGATTGAAACTTTGAGAAGAAAGATCCAACAGAAAATACAAAGCTACTGATTTTTTTTCTCTAGTTTTAACTGATTTTCATTACCCGAACCGGATTTTTTTTGGGTATTGGAATTCGATGTTTTTACTTAAACCGAAATATTCGGGGTATCCGCAGGTTCTGATCCCGAAAATAACTGATAAGATTCACAATTTTAGGCTATTATCGTTTCAAAATCTACTGCAAATTCGCGTTAAATATTCATAACCCGCAACTCGGTTGCTCCCTCGGGTCGGAACGAACAAAAACATTCGTTGCATATATAAAAAAGAACGAAAGAAGGGATTCAATAGAATGATAATGTACCTTTCCGTAGTGTAATTTGACAAAGGCGTCGCATTTTCCGTTCTTGTCTTTCAAGACGAGGTTCTTTCCCGCCAAGACCGTGACGGTGATTTTCCGGCCAGTCTTTGCCAGAAAGTTCGAAGAGCCATCGAACAATTGCGACGAGGTCTGGTGAATGCTGCTCAAACTATGCGAACCGTCGGAGAAATGCCATTCTTTCAGAACCAGCCGAACCGTCAGCTTCAACAAACGAAAGCGAAATTAAGGGGTTCAATCAGAAACACCGGAAGAAAATGGGGTTCAAAACGAAATACCATAAAAATCAATACAACATGACTTTTTGAGCATGAATTCACAGCTTCATAGAATTCACATTTTCCACTTTTCGCCCCTACATAACCGATTTGATAAAAAATCACCCTTCAACATCGGATATTTTAGGTTCGGTTTCGACCTGAGTATCGGGCTGATCCGAAAACGCAACGATATATTAACCGAAAGGAAATACATTCATGAAAAATTATAGAAGGTCTGTTAAATTACCTCACCGGAGCTAAGTCCTTCGAAGGGAACAACCATCTCGACTTCTTGTCCGCAAAACTCCGCATGTTTCGCGATTACGCCGTTATCAGTTCCCACGGCCCAAAATATCGTCGAATCGTCCCCCACATATCTCATCTATACACATTCCGACATTATTCGAGACGGTTATTAACGGCTTTTAACGGGAAGGAACTAACAGCTATTAACCAAAAGGACTAAATGAGTAACATTAACCTTATATCAGTTTTAATTTGGTCCGACATATCTCGAAATGAACCAAGTCCGAAATAATCAGAAGGAAACTGAATTGAAATTAGATTTCCTTCAAACTAAAAGAGAAATTCCGCTACCGAATACAAAAAGGAATTTTATTTCTGTCTCGTTACGATACAAATTTTGCGAATCCAAATCGGCCAAAGCCAAGATAAACCAAACTGAACATAACCAATTATCTACACCAAACTGAATCTAGTTAAAAGATCTAGCATACCGTGATGTTGTCTGAAAATAGGGTTCACAATGAAAAACCATATGCGGGCAATACAATCGCCTCGTCATACAGTTATGTCATTTCTATATAAAAACGTGAGGAGTAAATCCGAAATTCCCGTAAAAAGGCGAAACATTTTCATAAAAACAACGAAATCCACCAAAAAAAAGAGCGAATCCAAAAACAAAAGTTTGCAAGTCTAAGAACTCCTAGTTCTTGCAAAAGGAAAAAAGGAAGAAAGAAAGTAGTCTAAATTTCCCCCAAAAGAAGTCGATTTTTTTCATAAAAATGATGGAATTCACCCGAAAACATTTATGTAAATTTCAGAATCCGAGAGAATTTCCTTCAACAGGAAAAGGACGAAGAAAGAACAAGAACAAGAAGGAACATAAACAAAGTAACTGAAACCTTACCTTAACTTCACAGCTGGAGAGACAGTCATATCTAACATTCCCGGGATCGATCTCGTAAAGATTGAATCTGAGAATGCCCGTCGTGTCGTGCAATATCATGTTGAACGTCGACTGCCACGTAGGATTAGGTCCCCACTTTGCTTCCGTCTTCCTCGACAGCTGCTCGAGCTCGACCTCCACGCACCTCTGCACACCCGATCCCTCCCTCGGGGGGCTCCCTCGAGGAGCATTTCGGTAAATTCGACTTCCCGATACCACCGTCACGTATATGATTCCTCCGACGGCCGTCTTGTGGAGATCCGTCGCCGGCAGTGCAAAACATCCCCGTCGTGGCTCCACCATCCTCTTGTTCAGCGTTTCCATCAGGATCTTGACCTGGAAGAAATTACGGTTTTACCCTTCCCACTTCCCCAAAGTGATCTTTTTTGGCGGTAAATATTGTTTTGTTTCAAAAAATTAACCCTCAAACTTTATTATAATTGCAGATTGTTCTACGAATTTTCATTCCTTTCAGATAATAAAGACGGTAGCTTTCATTTTTTTCCCCCATGTAAACAAACCTCTTAAAGGTTTCACAAATCAATGCCCAGAATCCATATAGAGTTTTAACGATGGAAAAAATGTATATAATCTGGTGGTAAAGGCGATTTTTTTTTCGAATAATAATAATAAAAAAAGACGTAGAAGAGAGAGAAAAAACGAGACGAACCAGCCAAGAAGAAACACCGGGAAGCTCGGTCGCCGGTAGAGACTGGCCC